AGGCCCCTAGCCACAATTAAATCACGATTCAATTGTCCGGATTTTAGCCGGTACCCTACGATCTATACATATACATATATGTATATGTATATGTATATGTATATGTATATGTATATGTATATGTATGGGGAAGGCGCTGCACGACGTACAAAAACAATTAAATCAGGATTTAATTGTTGTGGCTGTAGGGGCTCCCAAGGGTGCACAATTCAATCATGATTTCATTGTGCATGTGAGGCACATAGGGAAGGCGCTGCACGACGTACTAGAACAATTAAATCAGGATTTAATTGTTCTAGATGTAGGGGATTGCCTAGATGCCGGACCCGGGCAATTAACTCAGGAGTTAATTTTCTTTAACTCTTGGATCAACTGCCTTCCTCAGGGTTGGCCCAAGTTGCCGTAAGGGGCCAAGCCAGTCAAGTCAGCCGCCAGTCATGTGTATGTGTGGAGAGGCTGCGCCGTGGAAATTTCCTCCTGTATGTGTCGGACGGCCTCGTGGGTATCTGGACGAATCGATTCTTCTTTTGCCTCCACCTTGACCATTCAGCTCAAGCCCTTTAACAGTTTGAGTGTAGGGTTCGTCTTTGGACGGGTTTTCTTTGCAAGTTCACAGTCCTTCGGTGCTCGCTCTGTACAGGCGGTACAATTAGAGTTGCACCTGTCAAAGTTAGGTTTGATGGAGGACTTGCTAACTTCCTTGCACCTTGAGTGTCCGCATGGTTCTACAACTTACCAAGCTTGTAAGCTCAAGGTAGCTACATGACCCGTGTACGGATCCTCTCGCGCGCGGAGCTGACAATCGCAGTGCTCCACACAGCACCCTGCTCCTTGGAACGACGGAACTCACGTAGAAAGGCGCAGGTGTAGTTTGCAAGTGTTTCGCAAGAAGCTCCCAAGGTGAAGTCTGCGACAAGCGGGACTTGATTCGACAAGCCACCTTTGGCCTGTGGCTAGGTGGCGTGGGCTGCTTAACAGGTTGGACCAGGTGAGAAGGATCGAGCTTCCCGGCAAAAGCTCCATTGTTTGATCATAAGTCTGACGGGATGTAGTATCTCATCGCATGTTGAGCAGCCTTTGCTGGCTCCAGTTGCGCACTGAGGGAGTTCCACGACCAGCTTGCCTCAGATCTCTGTGCACGACTTCAAAGTGCGTTCTTGCGTAGCGCGGTGGACGCCAGGCCGCGCTGGATTCGCCTTTGCCCCCTGCATGGTGCTGCTGACCATCCTCGGTGCGCTCTGCCGCCATTGGCGAGGCACGTTACCCAGCACGATAAGAATTGGGAACGGTAGAGCTCTACAGCTCCAATCTGTCGCTTCTGCTGTTGTGCTCGTCTATTTGCTGAAATGTGCTGAGTCCGGAGTATGCCACGGAGGCAAATCGATGTGTAGGGAATCTGCTTCCGAACCCTCTGAGCCACCAATTGCTGAGATGGTGTGAGTTATTTTTCGTCGTAGTTTTTCTGTCGGTGATATCTCTTCATAACTTGAAGAGTTCACATCGACAGTTGTGCCACCCAACAAAAGATGAATCGGACAAGGCTGCTGCTTGATATACTGGGCTATTCCCAGTTCTCCCGAGCAGTAGTGTTTGATCAAAGGTGCAAGCTGCTTAATGAGATTATGATGGACTCCGGATGGAGTGGAGGTTCTAATTTATGAAGTTTCTGCAAGCGCCATGATCAAGCCTTTGCCTCGGCGAACCAGCCGGTGACCGAAGCTTCAAAGCGCAAAAAACTGTACAGAGGCCTTTGATCGCATGGATCTGGCCATGTGACGTTCACCTCGTATATCCTCGTACTGGTACAATGCTTAAGCAAGCCTGCTGTTGTGCTGCCTGTGGCTGGCCTGCCTTGAGGTGAAAGTTGCTTTCTCGCACTTAGCTACCCCTCTTCGCACCTTTGTGCCTTCGAGCTGCCCCGCAAGTACAGCATGCAGCCTGGATTGTTTGGTAGATTCTGGAAGCCATGGAATCAAACTGTTTGTGCACATGGCTGGTAGTGCTGGGTGCAGCCTCCAAAGGTATTTACATGCTCTTGGTGAGCATCAGTGCTTGAGATAATTCGTTACTCAGACTTGCAAGAGCTCCGAGCCGCCAAGCCTGGGAGAAGCACTTACATGCTGGCATCAGCCAGCTACTTCAGTAAGACAGTTCTCTCCACAAGTCGTAACAGGAGGGCGTTGCAGGGATCGACTTCCCGACTTGAGCCATGACGCGGTTTTACTTTTGCGTAACTGTTCCAAAATGTGCATAGCTTATAGTCTGTTTGCGTCAGGGCTTGACGGGGATTCCTTCCTCCAGCAGCCTGACAAGTCGACGAGAAGCTGTGAATTCGTTGGTTTGTGCATCCAGACGTCGGAGACGCGCTTTCAAAAGGTCAGCAAGTGACGAGATGTAGTGGCGATGCAGGGTCAGCTATGGGCTTTGCTGTTGAGCGAGGCTTCGGCGATCCGAACCTCTCGTAGCCGGGGCTGTGTGCGCCGGGTGAGGCCATGTCCGTGTTTTTTTTCTGAAGGACCTTAGAAGCGTGTTGGACTGAACTCAAGTCGGAGGCTTGGAGCCCTGCAAGCCACGATCTGCTTCCAACGACTTCTGGCGTTCTCGGCTTGCTTCGGCAACCTGCACTGAGAGCAACTGGTGCCATATACTCCCAGTCTTGCAGATGGGGTGTTCCAGAAGAAGAACCATTTTTTGCTTATCGCCTGTGCTTCCCGAGCATAATATCTCCAGAGCCAGACCGTGGAGCAGTCCCCATGCGTCGTTGCTCTCTGTGCGTTTTAGCCGCTGGTACGTCTCTGGGTGTCCAGAGGCAAGGGCGAACTGGGAAGGAACGACATTGACATTTTGGGCGGAGGCAGGAAAGGAGGAAGAGGAAGGACACGTGCAGACATCCTGGTAAATTGCTCCTGATGCCGTGAGATAGGTGCCCAGGTTTTGACAATTGGCTTTGACATGGCTCTGGGCTCAGATGTGGGATAGGGTGCGGGGAGCTTTTTGAGTTGGATGAGAAGGAGAAAGAGCCACTGGAGAGATGGAGATGCTTTGAGACATGCCTCATGCGTTGATGGTACAGATGTTGTTTCTCCCGGCGTCTATCACAGGGGGATCCGCTTAGCTTATGTGAGATGTGCGACAGGTAGCGCAAAATGCTCAACCATTGATAAGACTTGAACATGTGTCAAAGCTATGTCAAGCTGGCTTTTTTGGAGCCTTTGGGATGAGTTTCGGGTACTGAAGGCAAATGGCAGCCAAACGATTAATTATGCTGGGAGCTGGGCTTGCGACTGGGCCGGTCTCCAACCTGTTTCCTAAACCCCAAATGTGTAGTATTTTGCGAATCTGCATTTTGGGTTCGTCGTTTGCATTTGAGAGTTTCCAGTTGCCGGAGCTGGCCTGGTGGACGGGGGGGTAGACCAAGGGCCTCGGTTCCAGGAAAGGG